CCCCAAAACCCCAAAACCCCAAAACCCCAATATCTGATTCATTATTGATTTTAACAATGCTGAAGAAAAAGAGTATCTCTGACTTAACAACCGCGGCCAATTGTGATAGTTTTATTGTATCTGCTACTCCAAACAGACTGAACTACAACAAGTCTCCCATGAAGGAATCTCAGAAAGAAGATAAAGTTTTGGTTCAGGAAGAAACAGGAAAACTGAGTGATTTCAAGGTCTTCTTCTCTGTACTTAAAGGGTTCTGCTCCTGAGCCATTCTTTTGGTACCCAATGCTTTTTACAATGGTGGCTGGGCCTTCACTACAGTAGTGATGCTGACTTGCATGGGACTGAATCTAATAACCTGATTGATACTTCTAGAAGTGTCCGATAAGTATCCAGGTACTTTTTCTGAGTTAGGTTATCTTGCCTATGGAACTCCTTGCAAGATAGTTTGTGATCTGGCTCTTTCTATATCACAAGCTTCCTTTGTGTCGGCCTTTGTAGTATTTATTATACAGAACTCAGACACTATTGTATTGCATTTATGGGGTGTGACGATCGACCACTGGATTCTGGGAGGAATTGTGTTTTTAATTTTATGACCGTTAACCTGGGTAAGAAACATCGAAACCTATAATAAATGGCACATATTTTGCGAATGCAGCACTATTGCAGTCTTGTTCACAATTATCTGCTTTGGAATCGCTCATGTTACTGAAGAAGGTAAGCCCAGTGATGTCCGGGCTTTTAATAGTGACAATTGTGTTGTTGTTTTTGGAACTTGTATTTATCTCTTTGAAGGCACTGGTCTGATCCTACCACTCAAGAAAACAGCTAAGAATCCACAAAACTTCTCTAAAGTGATGGTTATCAGCCTCTGTATTTTTATGGCAATAGTCCTTGCTTTTGGCTTTTCTAATTACTTTAGCTACGGAGACAAAATTTTAAGAGATTCAATTATCATCACAAAGGCACTTCCTCAGGACAATATTATACTCCATTTTATTAGAATGGTCTATTTTCTATGATTATTTATTACAGCTCCTTTGATGCTATACCCTTCAAATACTATTGTTGAGAGTTACCTATTCCGAAAATAATGATAAAAACAATCATTATTGGCATACAAATATAACCCGAACAATTATAATCATACTAATAACTTTCATAGCAGTTTATTTCGAAGAAACACTTGACAGGTTAATGTCAATAGTAGGCTCACTGACATGCACACCTGTAGCATTTACCCTCCCAGCAATCATCCACCTCAAACTTGTCGCAAAAACCAAAACCCAAATCACTCTCGACATATTCTTGATCACCCTTTCATGTTTCATCCTAACCTTCGTCACTGGGCATAACCTCTACACCTGGACCTAACCCCTCATTCCTATTTCAACCATCTCCACCTCCCCAGGGGTTTTGGGGTTTTGGGGTTTTGGGG